TGTAGACTGAAGATGAAATTCTTATTCACAACTACAAATCTGGCAGTATGAAACATAATATTCTAAGACTAAACATATTGTACTGTAGCCTCAAGTATATTATTGCATGATGGGAACAATTATCGCGATGTTCAAGCACGTCTATAATTCGACTGTCCAAAAGTCTTAGGTCTTGTTAAAAATTCCAGAAAGATCCTAAATTTTGCTAAACAGACTTCGGATTTGATGCCGGTTCACCACGTTTCTCGTTCTTTCTTGTGGCCTCTTCGTCAAATCTTCGCATGTTTCCCGTTCCATTCAGTCGCCTCTCTGGGTTCTCAACGAGACTAAAAAATGAAAATTCATCAAATATATTATGAGTAGTACAAGTGACGAGAAAAAGAGAAACGAAAATCCTCCAGAGGGCAACATAGATGATTTTTCATCACGAAAACTCTAAAAATTCAACCAACTCGACATGACCGATCAAAGAGACACTTGTAGTTTTTGTAGAATTGCATTTTAAAAAAATCATTAAATCACATGAACAGATCGACGACTCAATTGAACTCACCTTATCGGACGATTATTATAAACGTTACTTCGATCCCTAGTCAGGATTGGTGTCCTATAGATGCCATTCCTTAATACATGACCTCGCTCACCAGCTCCTGTAACGGAACAATTGTTTTGCGTGATCATTCTGGTTTATATCATAATTAACTGCATTGTTATTCATGATTCGATAATATTTTGCACGAATAAACTCGGAATCGAATTATCTGAGTGCCTCACCTGCAACATTATGAGATTCTTTGTTCTTCAGTTGAGAAACACGATAGTTTGATGGGGCATTTATTTGCTGATACTCGCCTGCATCGTCATTCACTTCACAGATCCTTGACAAACCTTGAATTTCAACCTTCACTTATTGAATGCCAAATTCGAATATGATCACTGAACAAATCAATTTTATCAGAAATATAGATCAAATCAAAGAGAAGACACTCACTCTATCGCATTCGATCATTTAACTAGCATTAAGTTAAAAAAGTGGACATAATAGATCCACAGATCCCTCAATCTTTCACAATTCCACTGATATCTTCATTTCAAAATCTATTCAATCGCATTATTCATTCACTTTCCAGTACTTGGCTCTCAATATGTTCAGAAGATCGAATGCATGTGTAAATTTCAAACGATCTATTGACCGAAGCCGTCATGCAGTGGCTGAAGCTAATGTTGTTATCATGGAATTCGAATGAACATTTAAGCAATGAATTACACAAATCAAGCATACATCTCGCATAATCAAAAAGTCTCAAGAATTCCGTTTCGATGTTCTGTTCATTTTTCTCAACTTCTGCTTCCATATTCTGTGTTTCGGAACGTCGATGCTTGTCCACGCGTTGACCATGCAACTTGAATGGCAACAAGAAGTTCAACTTCGGTTTTATCTGAATATTATCGATGTTAGTCTACACCACAATTCACATTTGAGACATCGTATCAATTTTGATTTGCTGCATTGAAAGTGTCAAATCAACAAGTGATCTTACTGTAAAATAATGAGTACTTTTACAATAATTCAGCTTATCAAATCTTGATAGAGTACCATTCGTTCGAGTAGATCCTCGCCATGGTACGATACCGGCCTTGAAGGGTTCTTGTTGGTCACTCCGCAGAGTTGTAGTCTCATTCGCTCGATCTGAACACTTTCATAAAATATTATCAAATACCGTAACAAAACTTCCTAATCAAACAGCTATTGACTTACCTGTGCATGAGTAATCAGTAAGGATGACTGAGCCTGCAACAGTTCAAGATCCGCTCGACTTGCATGCGCTGCCTTATCGATCAACGACGTTCGCAACTGACTTATCTGGTAAATGCAATTTGATATTATAATTCAAAGATATAATTTCACATATTCTTCAGAGTTGAAGATTCAAATTACATCGATGGCACAATTAGATACCATATCGGGTAAAGCGACCGATAAATTTT